TCAGAACCTGCAATTCTTTCTCTTCTAAATTTTTAAATACACTGTAAGGTATTTCAGATGGTTCTAGTGTACTTGTCATTTTTTTTCTATATATCATATTCTTATTTCTGTTATTTTAATTGGGTTTAGTATTTTCATAAACTATTTTACTCAGATACTTTGTTTTAGATTGTATTATTTCTTCTATTATAGAAAGTCTTTTATGTCCAGGATTTGTCTTGATCTTATTCATTGTTGGAAGTAATCTCAAATTTTGTTTTTGATCTTTTCTAGCTTTATTATTATTTTGTTCTTATTTTTTTTTGTGTGTTTTACTAATTTTCTGATATTCATGACTCTTACTTATCTATTCAGAATATTATTTATTATTTTTGAGAGATTCTTTTCTAAGTTTTTATATCTGTGCTTTATATATTTCTGAATTATTCTTGCTTTTACTTTTGCTGCTCAAACCTTTGCTATGATACTTTCTATATCCCAAATCTCTTTAGTTTCTAGTAGCCACTTGTACATTTCTTCTCTATTTTGTATTATATCTTTCAGGTTGAGCAGTAATTTTTTTAAGAGAAATAGTAATAAATTGATTTCCTTGACTATATTCTTTATTTATATTTCTTTTATTTGTGAGCATGACTTAGGATCCCTGAGCCATACTTGGCATCTCCTATATATCTTATTAATTCTAAGCTTTCTTTGTATCAATTTATTATACTTTAACTTGTGAATAGTTCCGATATTCCTCTTTTGTTATCTCATTTTGAGTATATCTTTTATTAGATCTTTTTAATAGATAATAACAAGTTAATTGGTAGATAAAAATTCTAGATAGTATTAAACTTAATAATCGAAAGAAATCAGCAATACACCATCTAGTATATTTAATCAATTTTCTCTTTGTTTTTAGTAGAAAATATTTATATTAGATAGTTATATATTTTTCTTATTCTGATTAGGTTAGACTTAAATCAAGTTATATAAATAAGTAGCTCTTTGTATTATTTTCTTTTTAATAATTCATAAATCCTTAAATAGTACAAGAAGATATTCATTATATTTGTTTCTAAATGTTATTTTCTTTTAATAAAGTGGCCCAGAACAGTGTAAGATGAGTTTATATATATATATTTTTTTTTAAAAAAAAAAAAGTAAAAGAAAAATATTGCAAACCAATATTTAAAAATTATAAAAAAAAACAAGTATTGAATTTTTTTAACTTGTTTTTTTATATTATTTTTAAAAAAATTTTTTTAATTTTTTTATTTTAATTTCTTTAATAGTTTGATTTAAATAAAATTAAATATTATATAATAATTTATATAGATTTGAGACCTATAGGTCAATAGTGCAATAGATGTGCTTTTAGATTTTTAATCATAAGTTACCAGTTCAATTTTATCCAAAAATAGTTTTTATAATATAAGTTATATTGTACAGAATGTATTCTTATTAAAATATGGATATTTATATACAGATGACTTATCAAAATCTATTGTTTAACCATAATATAATAATTCAAATTATACAGGTTTTGATCAGTTTTAGTATTAGGAAAAAAAAGTCATAATATTCTATTGCTGGAAATATATGTAGATATTAAAGAATATCTGAAAAGACAATAATTATCCCAAGATCTTATTAGTTTTACATAGAATTTATCTCTTCTTAAAAATTTTATTCTTATAAAAAATTGAAAGACTTTAATTATATATACTAATCATAAATATAATAATCAGATAATATAAAAGATCTGAGATCACTAATTGATAATGGTTATTAGAAAGTAGATCTTATAGATAGTGAATAAAAAATGATGAAGTTGAATAGTCAAAATAGGATATTTGTAGAAATTGATATATTTGACAGAGACTAAAGATCTCATTTAATTAAAGAAAGCTTCTATAAAGCCATATTTAAAGATTAGTTAAGAATAGTTACTAGAAGACTTAGTTATTAATATAGCTTACCATTAGCTATTAAAAGATTTACTTAATATTATATAAAATTGAGAACATCAATAGACAACTAGTCCCTGAGAACCAAATATGACAAGTATATTATATATGATTGAAATATATTCTATGTAAGATCAATGACTATGAATAGAATAATCTCAATATATATTTTTTATTTAATTATTTAAAAAAATTAAAAAATTATTCTAAATTGTAAGTCATTTAGACAGTTTTATTTCAATAATAAATAACTAACAAATTTTTTCTCTTAATTTTATTTGAAATTTAAGGTAATTTAAAATAATGAATTACCAATAATTTAATTTTTATAGAATCTAATAAAATATAATTATATAAGTAAATAAATTTTTGTAAAAAATAAAATCTTATAATGCTTGTAAAATTTGCACAAAAAAAATTATAATCTTTTGATTTTGATTTTTTTATTTTTTATAATTATTTCTTTTACAAAAGATCTTAAGGATTTCATTTTTCAATAAAGACTAGTTTTATTACAATTAAATATATTTTTTAAAGATAAGATTTTTAACAAATCCTATAAAATTTCTTTAAATTTGAAAATTTCTTCTAAAGAGTACTATATTTTTCTTTATAATATACAAATTGCTTCAAGTTATTTTTTTTTTCAATTTGTTAGCTATTTATTTAATGCATTTAAATTAGAAATATTCAATAGTTTTGCAAATTCTTGAGTCTGGTATGTTAAAATAAATCTAGTAATAGTTAAATTGACTCTTAGAATATTTTTATTTTAATTAACATAATTTATATTTTTGATATTCTTTCAAGGAATGCTTAGAAAATCCAATATTGTGTCGCATTTTTATTTATAAATTGATTGTAAATTTTTTTAGAAATAGAGATAAAGTTTTGGAAAGAAGAATTTAATGAATAGACATGAAATTTATGCATTTATATAAGAATAAAAATTATTCATATTCCCAAAATTGATTTTGAACTACAAATTAATTATAATAAAAATTATTATTAATTTTTTTTAAATATTTTATTAAATTCTTATAAAATATTAGATAATTATTTAAAAGTATAAAATTTAAGCTTTCGAATCATATAAACTTTTTAAAATAAATTATTAAAAAATTGCGGAGATTAACTCTCGTCGGAGCTCTATAATCACGTGATCTCGGTAAATATTAATAAAAAAAATTTATATTTAGGTTTGACAATAAAATGGGAATCATTTTTAGGATTTCTTTTTAGTATTTGTCATACAAATGCATACATTTTCTTTTATCGAGAGTTGACCGTAATTATTTATAGTATAGCACGCATCGGCAATTGTCGAGAGTTGACCAGTGCTAAGCTAATTATATCACCATGTAACGTAGAAAAATCGATTATAAAAATTTCGGCATGTGATGTTTTTTTGCAAGCTTTTTTACCGTCACGTATACTTATTATTATTTTATTGATAGTAATGTTGTCCGAAGTGGCGAAGAGATTAATTAAAGCAGCTACAGGTCATATATTTTTTCAGTGCATTACTTTATCTTTTTTTTTTTTTTTTAGATGTAGCTTAACGATATTATTATTTGTTCATGTTATAGATGGTAAGTTTTATTAATTATATTATTCGACATTTATTTGTAAATTTATAAGAAAATAGTTTAAATATGTTACCATTGATATTACAGACGGTAAATTCTCTCTCTCGATATATCTTCGCTGTTTCTTTTTCGCAAAATTTTAAGAAAGTTTTGAACTAAATTGATAATTGCGACCATACAGGGGGTAAATTGTTTAGAACTTCTCTATTTCTTCAAATTTTATAAGAAAAATCAAAATGAAAATATTGTTATACATAATGTTACAGATGGTAATATGTATTGATATGAACGTTTTCGTTACTTTATTCATAAAGTTATGAGAAATTGACTCGCCATATTATCTTTCTGACGTTGTAGGAAGTAAGTGTCTTATCCGCTTTCTCGTTGTCTTTTATTATTATTATTATTTTGTAAATTCATAATTTAATACTTATTTCTGTAGATGGTAATTTTTTTTAGATATAATCTCTTTTAATTTCATAAATAATTGTCGAAAGTGGGTTGATAAATCAAATTATTAATACTACAGATGGTAAGTTTCCCGAGCATATTTAATTGTAAATTAAAGGAAACTAATTTATCATACTAATAATTTTCAAACCTATAGCGGGTACTTTATTATCATTTATTACAATTGTGCTTCGTAATCAAAGAGATCAACTAACTTATGTAATGGCTATTTGTTTTAGAATGTAAGTTTTTTAAATAACGTCTTCTTACTGTTTGTAAAATCATTTTATCAATTACCAATTGTAAATTATAGTACGTAAGTTTCCTAAAGCATGTTTCTTTATTTACCTCTTAAATCGTAAGGAGTGAATTTTATCTATCTAATCTACTACCTTTGGCTTCACAGATAGTAAGTCTTTTAAAACGCACTTCTTAAATTTATAATAATTGTGATTACTAATATTACTGTCCCTGATTTTACAGGTCGTATGTTTCTTAAGCGTCTTTTCGTTATTTTGTCTGCAAGTTTATAATGATAAGATTTAACTATCATTGTTCTTCACATTAAAGATTGTAAGTTTACACAGAATATGCAGTTTCATTAGAGGTGTTTAATCACTGATTAATATTTTTTATAGATGGTTAAGTTCTCAAAGATATTCACTGTTTTCACAAACTCATAAGAGAATTATCGAACTTATTATTTTTCGGATATTTTAGATTGTAAGTTTAATAGACATATTTTTAATTGAGAAATCATAAGAAAAGCAATCTGATGTTTTTTGCACTAATATTGATTTCATAGGGGGTTAAGTTTCTTATGAATATATTTTTTGATTTCCAAGTGTATGCGAAAATTGGTTGATTATAACTTTCTTCTGTTACAGATAGTAAATATCCTAAAGATGATTCTATTATTTTTTTTTTTACGTAACTCGACAAGAAAACTTATTTAACTGCATTATTATTCTTGATGATTTAGGTGGCAAGTTTTCAACTGTATTCCACCATGAATTCTCAGAAAAGTGTGCTAATTCGTGTGCTCTGCTCCGGATTTTATAGATAGTACGTGTTAAAATATTTTTTGATTTATAGAAAGCAATTATCCAACTTATTTTTGTAATGTTGCAGATAGTAAGTTTTCTTAAGAAAATCGTGAATATGTATATGTTATTGTTTGCCCGTATTGACAATTGCTGGCTTTACAGGGAGTAACTTTTCGAAATTTTATTTTCACGATTTTCTTAAAAACTAAAAGAAAGTGTACTAAATTATTGATTTTAAAGGATGTAAGTTTTCTCAAAAATATTTTTGGCGTTTTGTAATTAATAAGAATAAGGGCTTGATTGTATTATTGTTATTATATCGAAGACGGTAAGTTAAAAGGCAAGTTTTCTGTCTTGCAAATTGACATATGCTTTAACAGTACCATTGTATTATTTCTGCAGATAGTAAGTTTTCTTAAGTTTCCCATTTTGTGAATTCATTGTAAAGCTGCGTCAGATTTATAAATAACTTTTATTTTTATAGGGGGTAAGTAAGTTTTTTATCAAGTTGTTTCGATAATTTAAAAGAAAAATATTTAAATATTACGATTGTCTTTCATGATGCTTTAGACTGTAAGTCTTTCTTTCTTTCTTTTTTTTCTTGAAAGCATGTTCTGTTATGTATACAAATTTATAATAATTATATATATTACTTTTTTTAATGTTGCAGATTGTAGGTTTTTTGTCTTTCTCGTTACTTATTTTAGGAACTTGAGGGAAATTGATTTAACTATAAAATACTCTTGATTGCAGACAGTGAGTTTTTCGAGTATAATTTTATTTTATTTTTTTTCCACAAATTTACAAGAAAGTGTTATAAACCAGACATTTTTTATATTTGTTTTTATTAAATTATCTTTTTACATTTTGTATTTATAGCCTGTAAGTTTTCCAAAAACGCCTTTTAGTGTTTTGAAAATTTACGAGAAAAGGTCATTTGACAATAGTACATAAATTCTTAATATTTCAGATAGTAAGTTAAATTATTCGCACGTCGAGAAAGTATTTAACTATAAGTATTAATATTCTCTTATTAATGTTGCAGCTAGTAGGTTTTTAATGAATATTCATTTCGTGGATTCATAAAAAATAGGTTCAACAATATTACAATTGTAGATCGTATGTTTCACAAGTATATTGCATATTTGATCTCAAAATCCAAAGAAAAAGATTTGACTATGTTATAATTGTTGCGTTATAGGAGGTAAATTTCTTGAACACGTTTTTCGTTTTTCGTTCGTTATCCACTGAAAAGAGCTTTAACTATCTCCTACCCATTATGCTTCAGATTGTAAGTTTTAAACGGCATTTTTTTTTCATTCCGCAAACACCTTTGAGAAAAATGATTTATTATTGTTGATTTTGTAGATAGTAGGTTATTTAAGCATATTTTGTTACATTCTCAACTGTAAGAAAGTATATTAACGTTCTTTATGCTGCAGATTGTAAGCACGTTTCTTTATTGGCTTCGTGAATTCATAAGTATGATATTCTAACCACAATTCCCTACAGATTGTAAGTCTGAGTCTTAAGCATTGCTTGTTTTACAAATACATGAAAAATTATATCTATATTAATATTCTCTATGGTGCAGATTGTAAGTTTCGTAAGCCTATTTTTGATTTCGATTTTTTTAAAAAAAAATTTTTTTATTAACTTTAGTACTGTTAACGTTGCAGACTGTAAGTTTTTTTTTAGAATTTTCGCGTTTTTTATTCCTCGAGTTTATAAAATAAAATATTAAATACATATTGTTCTTGATTTTTTACTGCAGATTGTAAGTTTTTTTTAGCAACATTTTGTTGTTCGTTCCGTAGATTCTTTATATTTAACGTACGGTTAACATTGATATTAAAGATGGAAAGTATATATTTTTGGTTGTATTGTCATCTATTTACCCTATTTATAAAGTGACTAGATTGTTTGTTGATATTGCAGATTGTAAGTTTATTGGATGTTTCTTTGCATATAATAAGAAAGCAAACTAGCTAATCCACATTACCGTCCTTTGATGCCACAGACTGTATGCTTCTTAATTGTATTTTCTGAGTTTACTTCGAAAATTGATTAAAAGTAGTCTAACATACAATTTAATATTACAGATGGTAAGTTCATTTTATTTGGTTTGCAAGGTTCATAATTAGTTGATGTAACTATATTGTTGTTCCGCGTGTTGCAGATGGTAAGTATTTGGTCGAAACTCGCAAATTATTAGTTGATCAATTTTTCTATATTAATAAACAACAACTTGACAGATTGTAAGTTTTCTCGTCATATTTCGTGATTTTTTCGCCACTCCATAAATTTCCAATTACGTTATTATTAAAAATAACTGTATGACAGGGGGTAAGTATTCTCAATCATACTTTTGCTCCGAAACTCAATAAAGTGGCTTAGCAATATTTTTTCCCTAATATTATAGATTGTAAGTTTTCTAAAGCGTGCTTTGTGTTTGCTTGGCATTTTTTATTCGTTTACAATATCTTCTTTTTTTGCAGGGGGTAAGTTTCTCAATTGCATTTAACGTAAATTGGCTAATGACTTACCTATTCACCCTCTGGATATTATAGATTGTAAGCTTTTTCTAGCTCATTTGTTATTGGATTCACGAGAAACAAGATACTAATAATTATTCACGTTATAGCATGTAAGTTTCTCGGGCATGCATTCCTAAATTATTTTGCAGATCACTAAGTAAAAAGGTTTAACTATTATTGATGTTACAGACAGTAAGATTTCAAAGTTATTTTGTCGTTTTTTTTTTTTTTTTTTTTTTTTGCGAATTCGTAAATGATATAACATTAATTATGTCGTAGGAGGTTTGTTTTTTAACTTATTTTATTATTTTTTTGGTAATTAACAATAATGTGAACTGACTATTTGATTTTATAGCGGGTTAAGTTTTTTTTTTTTTAGAATTTACGTTTGTATTTTGCAAACTAATAAGAAAGTGATCTAACCGCTACACCGCTCTTGATATTAAGATTGCAAGTTTTTTTATTAATTTTATATTTATTCTATGAATTAATATAAATGTGGTGTAACTATTCTATATTGTTGATCTTAAATTCATAGGGGGTTAGGTTTTTCGTGCAAATTTTTATTTCTTATGTCATCTTCCGCTGATTCATAAAACATGCAATTAAAATACATTCACAATCTAACCTTTATAGGACGTAAGTTTTGTTATGCATACTTTTATTTTTTTTTCGCAAAAGCTTTAGCTTTTTTTTTTTTTTTTTTTTTTAATGCAGGGAAATGCAATCAATGTAACGAAGAAACCACATCCAAGTTCTGGTGTCAGCCTTGCAATTCTGCGTGGCTTCAGAAAGAATTTGAAAATTGGGGAAGTGGGAATGACGATGTTGATGAATTAATAAAAAAATCTCAGCTGAATGCGACCAGCACACAAAGAATACTCGAATGGATTCCATATTCAAAGTTCAAGGTCAACAAAATTCCTATTGGTAAAGGCGGTTTTGGAAAAGTTTTCTCAGCTGAATGGACTGAGGGAAATATTCTTTATTGGAATAAAAAGGATGATAAATGGAAGAGAAAAGGAAAAACCGAGGTCGCGCTAAAATGCCTTAATGATTCTCAAAATATTACCAAAGAATTCTTAAGCGAGGTAAATATAATTTACTGTTGGTTTTTTTGATGCGTTGCGTTTACAATAATTATCGATATCTTGCCTAAACCTTATTTTGTGATCTGCTTATTTACTTTAAATTTAGATAATGAATCTTCTTCATTGTAACAACGAGTCCTCTCACATTACTAGATGTTATGGAATTACCAGAGATGAAAATACGAATAATTTCATGATTGTAATGCAATTGATAGAAGATACCAGTCTTAGGATGAATTTACCTGTACTTAGAGAAATGTCGTGGAAAGAAAAGATAACTTGTCTATCTCGAATCGCGGATGGATTATATCAAATACACGAGGCTAATTTTGTTCATCGCGATCTTCATACTGGAAATATACTTTTTTACAAGGATAGAGAGAATACCCCTTACATAACAGATTTGGGATTATGCCGTCCATGTTCAGAACCCGACAATCAAAAAGTTTACGGCGTACTTCCGTATATAGCTCCAGAGGTTTTATCTGGAGGGGAATTTACGAAGGCGGCAGATGTCTATGCGTTTGGAATTATCATGTCAGAAGTGATATCTGGAATTTTACCTCATGGAACTGTTCCGCACGATATCGCCCTTGTACTTAAAATTTGCAATGATGAACTTCGGCCTGAAATTCCACAAAACACACCTGCTTTGATAGTTGAACTAATAGAAAGATGTTGGGATTCCGATCCACAAGAACGTTTGAGTTCTTATGAAATACGTAGTATTTTAAGGGCCTGGCGGTATGAGGGTCACGATACCTCAAAACTTTTTAGACAAATTAAAGCAAGTGAAGACACGGCACTCTATTATGCTGATAACGAAATTAATTCCAATGCTTTCTATTCGAGCCGATGTCTTACAGGTAATATATGGTTGTTAATAAATATGCTCATGTATTAATACTCAATTGTATTAACTTACGATTTATATTAGATGAATTGGAATTGTGAATTATTATACTTTATTACCAATAAATTGGATCATCGATCATTGTTGATTAATCCTTGATATTGCAATATACCGTATACGTATTCGAGTAAAAAAAAAAAAATGCTTTTGAATTTTTGTTCACATGATTATTTTTTTTTTTTTCGGAAATAGAACCGATATTATTTATAAAGTGACCAATACTCGAAGATTTAATTTTTATCAATAGTTAATCGTACGCAGAAAATCATTTCTAGTTTTCAGAATCAATTTTTCATGAGTCAAATTAAAAGATTACGTAATTTTATGCGACATGGCCGGTTTTTTCCTCAAAGTTAATCACAAAAAAGTTTTTTTTTTTTATTATTTTAATTGTGATAAGTATATGGCCAAATCTAGATAATGCGTACAAATATTCAGTGCCCTTCAATAAAAGGATTGCTTTAAAATCATTAAAATTAATCTGAAATAGTTTTCATAATTGATTCTAAATAGATTAAAAATTTTATAAAACTTAGACAATAATTTACTATTACAGTATATTAATGATTTTTCTCCGAATAAGAATTTTTTTATTTTTATTAATACAGTTTTAATAAACAATTTATTATTAGCTATTTCATTAAAAATATATTAAATTAAAATACTTAAATTTGAAATTTGACAATTTTATCTATATTTAAATTTTATTTGATAGATTTTTTTAATAAAGATAAGATATTTAAAATTCATTATAATTAGTTAAAAATAGATTGTATGTATAAAAAAAAATTTTTTTTAATCGCAAATAAGTATTAAATGTGAGTTTTATTAGAAATTTAATTTATAAACATAACATTAATAGTCTTTACATTGTATATTAACTAATGATGGGTCCCTAAAGTATTTAGCATATAAAATTTCACAAATCAGTTATGTCCCTTTTTGAGGAACAAAATTCATAGCTCTTTACTTTAATAGGGACAAAAGTCTGGATAATAGAGAACAATTGTGAATAGGTTTTTTATCATTATTAATTTAAAAATTTTAATATTTCCCAGTGAGGAACATTTGACTTTTGTTCCTGCCTTCCCTTTTAGGGACCTATCTTTAATATTAACTATAGTCTAATGTGATATTCCTAATATGACAAACTAATAGTCTGTAATCATGTTTATTGGATTAGTGTATAAAATATTTCATTTTATTAATTAAATAAATTCAATAATTTTTCTATATAAAAATTATTTATTTTTAACAAAACAATAACTTATTTTATTAATTCTACTATTTTAAAAAAAATTTATCTTGATAATTTTTTTGAAAAAAAAGAAAATCAAACACAAGAAAAAAACTATATATAGATCAATTCTACATTATATTTAAAAACTATTGAAAAAAATTATATAACTTCTGCATAATAACTTATTCTTATATGAATTTTTAAGAAAAAAAAATATAGTACATATAAATTGATTTACAATTAAATATAAAAACTCATATTAGTCTTATAGAGTTTATGGCTAGAACAATACTAATTAATATATTTTTAATACTGTAAAAACTCTAAAGTTATTAAATACATAACAACTATATATAAATATTTAATCAAAATATTTTAAAATCTAAAAATATGATAAATTATTCAATTATTTATATTAATTAATATAAATTACTATAAAAAAAATAAATAAATCATTTAAAAAAACGATAATAAAATTAATGAATTGCTATATAATTAATAAATATAAATAAATCACAATAAATATTATAAATTATCTAAAAATAAAATAAATAATAGATTGGACAATTAAAAGTAATAGCTATTCAATAAAAAGAAAATACTATAAATATAAAAATAAATTAATAATATAAAATATATCATAATAAATGTTCAAAAACAAAAATAATTTGTTTTAAAGTTAATTTATAATAAAATATAAGAAAATAATAAAAAAAAGCCTGCAAATAAGAATATAAAAATCTATGAGACAATTAAAAATATCTATTGTAATTTTAACTAATAAATCTATAGAAATCATTATAATTATTTAACCATATATTATTAAATAAAAAACTTTTAAATAAAAAGATCTCAAAATAATAAAAATGATTAAAAAAAGAATTGATTTTATAGATAAATTTTTAAATTTTACAAAATAAGGCTATTTCTTTTAAGCTTATTAAAATTAAATAAATATAAATAATTTTTATAATATAATAACAAATAATTTAATAAAAATATACAAAACTTTTAATTATTGTATAAATAAATTCAATTTCAAAAAATTATAATAGAGATAAAATAATTTTTTTTCAATCACCAATCATGCCACAATAGCTTATCTTTATTGAAAAATTGAAGTAAATCTATAATATTTTATAGACTTTTACAAAGTAACTAACTTGTTTTTATACAAAAGTACTTTATGTCAGATTTTGGAGACAATATTATATTCCCCCAATAGATTGGTAATAACTTCTATCTACTAGGATCATTACTAGCAGTTTGTTACTATTGATTGTCCCAAAACCAATGAATTGTTAAATTCAAAAGAGAAAGGAAAAAAATAATTGAGAAAAAGTGACAATTTAAGACTCACCAAAAAAATTCAAAAATAAAAACAATTTCTTGCTCAAAGAAATCTGCCTAATTGGGATAATCTTCTTGTTTCACTTGAACCTTAGAAAAAATCTTCTTTTTCATTACATGTAATATCAAACAAGTTAATTCAACTAGTCTTTTATTTAAGTGAGCAATGGATTGGGATATCTCAAGAAAAGTATTTAGATCTTAGTTTTTTTCTATTAAAGCTTTATCATCACTTGAGAAATTTAGGCAAGAGATAGGAGTTTGCAATTCACATTACCTATCACTTAAACTTTTGATATCATAGAAGTTTTTATTAAAAGACTTGAGCTTTTGGAGACAAACGTTTCTAGAACCTTCTTTTCAATTACTAATAATGTCATCAAAACACATGGATATGACCAATAGGAGCTTGTTTACATTCCAAAACTAATGTGTTTCATGTCAGCCAATCACCTTTGGTAAGAATTTGTGTTACTCAAAATTCAGGGTCAAACTGAGGTAGTCAAAATTCCATAGAGAAATTTATTATAAATATTTTTTGTAGAGGTGTTACTCATTCCCTTTGCGAGAAAATAGGTTTCGTGGGCTTTCACATAGGCTCCTCGTCAGCCACTTCTAAAATCTGGGTCAAGTATGATTGCCAACCAACTCGAATTTCTTTTAAAGGAGAGGTTGTAGATGACTTGAAAGAAGCGATCAAGAAAAAATGATTACCCAAGCTGAATGACGTGGCAATAGACCACATAACTTTAAGAAGACATGGTGAAAAAGGAGACTTGGATCCTGGGATTGCTGTGGACCACCACACCTCTACAAGTCATTATGAATGCACCTGGTATTTGTCGGGAAAGAAACAATGAGTAACAGGTTAAAATAGTTATATGATTTTGTGATATTAACTCTGACTTTACTACAAGTGACATTGAAACGTAAACATGAAAAACCACCAGAAGATTTACGTAAGAAAGTGTTATCTCGACATAATCTAAGCATCAAATCTTTCGGAAACGAAAGCAAGAACAATAATGGATTCTTTCAAATTAATAGATTTTAAAGTAAGTACTGTGTATACCTCTTGTATTATTTGATGATTTTGTTATCTTATCATTTGTCCATTATTAGCTCTCAGCGGAAGAATGTCCGAAGTTGATAAATTGGTTAAGAAAGCATTAAACCTACCAAGAGGTTTTTGTGTGAAAGATGTCCATACGCAAATTCAAGAACGACATTTAATAAGTTCCAATATCACTCTAAGGGGCGGTACTGATATTTCCATTGGAACAAGTGATAACGACTAGTTTGGATTGAAACTAGGAAAAAGAAGGAGGATTTTAAAGAGGGTCAAGCTATCGGAGAATTATTCATAGTTGATAATAGATCTGCTACAAAATC